TCTTCCTTGTTCCATACTATCCTTCACACACTAACACGCACTATACAAGCACACAAGCCGGGGGACCGGTCGGGAGTTTAGAGCTTGACCCGGCTGGGGCTGTGCCTCGCTGTCGGAAGATACCTGGTCGGGGAAAACCCCGCTAGCCGACGGTAGGGTAACGCCGGATTTCGCCATACAGCGAGGGAAAGGTCACTGCTACCTCCCGAGTAAAACATGCACTACACTCACGGGTCTAATGAGCCTGTTAGTTGACGTGCCCCGAATCACTATAACAGTCAACTAATGTAATAGTCCTGTAATGGTACAGAAAATAAATATGGAGACTATAGTGGAAATACACTTTTGGGTCCCCTGAAACCAAAAAAGTTTTTGTTTGTCTATACGCCTTTCCGTGTTTCCGTTCTCCGCGCGGGTGCGTGGCGGGGGTGCTTGGCTTGGCGGGGCGTGCAGGCGTGCAGGACGTGGCCGGCGGAGGCGGAGAGGCGAAGCTGATGCCTGGCTTGGGCCCCGGCGGCACGTTCTCGCGGCTGTTGGCGCGCCCTCTCGCACCCCCCCCCCCCGCTCCGGCCGTCTGCCTCGCCATGTTTTCCACAGGCCTCTGTGACGAACTCGCAGACCTTCGGCCAGTCTGGAGAAATGGCCACCAACACCCCTAACTTTTACCTTGAGTTGTTTCGATAACCTTTCTTCCGTTGCTCGTCGCCCAAAGAGCACAACCTTCTTGGGATGTTTTAAATAAATTTCCGGAGGGCTTCAATTCACCGTCAATGTATTCTACAATGTCTCAACTTTGAGTTACATTTTGATCGTCATGGGAACGACCCAATTCAAACTTTTCGTAAGTAGAGAATCCAGCCACTGACTGAAGGAGAATTATAGCGGCCGGTTTTTCTGACAACAAACGGTCCATGGACCGCGCGCGATCTTTCCTATCTCACCGTTGCCTTCACCTCTTCCAGCTGGGACGATACCTTGCTATAACGTGCACTGCTCTTGTGGGACTTGCGACCAAAGTATTCGGGGCGCCCGGGAACACGAAATACTCCGTGTCTCTTAACTGAGTGGCGCCGTTTCAGGCCCGGGGGCCGTCTGTTGCGTCGCCGCGTTGCTCCGCCCTGTTGCCGCAACGCGCCTCGGCTCTCCGCCTGAATGAATTCTCAATTACAGTTCTGCTCCCCGAGTGCATATCTGGCGGCCCCCGCCCCCGCTCCCGCCTCGACGCCGCGCGCCTGTGGCCTTGCGTTTCTCTTNNCCCTCACCCCTTGCAGCGCTTCCCCCTCCACCGCTCCCGCCTCGCTCTTCTGTCGCCGTCGCGCGTCGATAATCGATACGGGGCGCGTGCCAGCGGAGACGCGGAATGCGTGGGCGGCGCGTGCTCCCCCCTCTCCCCGCCCTCGGGGCGTACAATGCCCGGCATGCGCAGGTATGCTCTCCGATGCCAGTGATCACGGGGCGGAAGGCAGCGCTTTGTTCCCTGGCACTAGGCGCAATGAAACTCTCATCGCGAGATTCTGCTCCACTCTCCATCCCTTTCGTGCTCATGGACTTACTGCTCGACTCAGATGGCCATTCTTTGCTATTTTCTTGTGCTTCTTGCCGGACGTCTTCCTTCACTTCGAAGTCGTCTCTTGTACCTGAACTCATTCAATACTTCAAAGTTTAAAGTAACGATCTCACCCACAAATGACAGCCCAAGAAAGGTCTTATGGAATTTACTTACCGTAAAAGTATATAAGAGTTTTAGAAGTTTTAAATAATGTTTTGCGTACGTATTAAATGTAATGAAGTTGAAGTTAGAGTTTTATATTCCGGCATACTTACTATTGTTTCATGTAACTTATACTGCACATAAACATATTCTGTTAATGCGACCAGTACAGTCACTTTTATAGCCACCAGTTGTACCCATAAAGTATTTGGAAGGACGGTGGGTTAACCTTTTACTTGTTGGTCCTCAGTCTACAAAGGAATCTTACGGTACTTGCAAGTGAAATACGGTACACTTTTGAGTTGAAACCCCTCTGCTATGCGCCTTCTTTTAATACTCGGGCAGTTCCCTTTTAATGAGTATTTCGCATTGCTTTTTATGCATGGTACTATCTTTTTTAGGGGCCTGTCGCATGACGAGGGCAACAGGAGCGGGGAGGAGCCCCGCCCCGTGCCTACGGAATGGATTTCCCCCGGGCGAGTCCTCCGCTAGCTTCTGCCGCGCGCCCTTCGGCTACCCACAGGCGTTGACGAAGACACGCGTCTTCTTTCTGGGGCAGTTTTCCATGCGAACCGTCTCTTGTTTCTTTCTTCGAAAGAATTCACATTTGGAGCAAATGGGAAAGGTTAACACACAAACGAAGAATGTGGGGAAATGAAATGTGCTTTATTGATTACTGATTCCGGGCGCGACAACTGCTAAGGTCATTGCTCTCCTAAGTGTATTTCATATTTGTATCGTGGGATGTGGCGGTGATCTTCGTCCTCTGAATGGCGAGACATATGTCGCCTTGCGGGAATTTTCCTCAACCAGGTATCCCCCAGGCCGCCCCTACAAGACACTCTTCAAGCTCCTGACTAGTCTCCCGACGTGCGTGTGTATGAGTGAGTGTAGTGCATGCAAGTGTGTGTGTAGTTAAGAGGTGGGGAAAATGCAAGGAAGAGGAAGGAATGATCGCGCGCGGTCCCTGACCCGTTTGTTGAGGTACTGCGCCGGCATGCGCCTGGTGTTGATTGAAGAAACCACGGACAACTACCGATCAGAGTAGCCGGCCGCAAGAATTATCTTCCAAACAGCGGCTGACTTCGACATATCTGGCTAGTGTCGAAAATCCTGGCACCGTAGTGATTTTGACCTCTAGAACCTCCCGGTGAGAGGCACTCAGTTAATGCCCTGAACCACTTTTTCCGGTTAATGCGTTCGGGTAAACAGGAGAATGAAGAATGTATGAGTTAAAATGAAATAAATGTGTGCTTCGTGAATCCATTGCGTGTGTTATTCCTTCCCACATCTTATTAATACTCGTTTCTCCTCTGTTCAGATGATGGTTGTGCTTGGTCTTTCAAGTCGGTGGTCCCGAAAACACTTCATTTATAATACAACCTCAACCAGCCCTCGGGCTGGGCAGTGGCTGTAGCTGATCGCGAATATACAACGACACCTGACTGTACCCGATCTCGTCGCGGAGTGCGCATGATTTCGTTCTCCCTGTGCCGCGATGTGCCGTTTCCTGTGTGTTGCTGCCCGTAATTGCGCTCGCAGCCGCTGCGGGCTCCGCGCAGGCCATCGCAGCGAGTGGTGTGCGCTGCCAGAGCGGGCTGTGTGCGCTGCCGCGTTGGCAAACTGGTGCAGGCGGGCGCACTCGGTCTGCACACAGCGCGCCGCCCAGGCCTAATTGCCCGAGTGGCCATTAGCGGCGGCGGCGGCGGCGGGGGGTGGGTGGGCAAGCGCAAGCAGGATGAACTCACGTCGACCTGGAGGGCCACCGATACATAAAATACGCTTCTTCCTTGGCGACATATTACTTGCCTGTTCAGTAAAATAGTATTTAGCGACAATTATTGAGCTTTTGGAATTGACCATACCACGATGGTGTCTAAGCAGCTCGGTACTACAGGGTTTCATTTTGTATCCGTATGGCTGGATATCATGTGACTGCCGTGGCCTTCCTTTGATTTGCATGTGTTCGTCAAACATTAAATGAACTGCTGAACACTGAACCTTCAGTCTAGAGTCCATGATGGCTTTCGTGAACATATGTAGTCAGTTAAGCACGAGGCTTTGTGACATTGGAAAACATGTGTATAGATTTCGCTGCCGTGGAAGACACGTTCATTATTTTCAACTCGTAGTAGTATCTAATATGTTTGTCTTTTAAAATTATACAATAGTTTCATTAATATACATGTGAATATTGCAGAAAATGTATCATTTCATTCCTTGTTACAGAGCATTTTTCAATATCTGTTTTCCTAGTAATTAAACTAGTTGTACAATTGTTTTCTATTTGTTTCAGGTAAGGAAGAGAAATTCAATTGTCGAAAGATCTCCATCGATGTGAGTACTCGTACAATCTAAGGGTTTATAAGCCGCAGGGAGAAATAGGTCTGGTTGAGATACATAAGGAATACGAGTTGTTGGAGCAAAATTTAGTTCAGGGCCACCGAAGGGTCGCTGTCTCGATGACGTTGGGCGATGGCGGATTTTCGACAGTGGCTGCATAGGTCGAATTCCCCTTCCACAAACACACACTCTTACGCTAACATTGTCTAGTCTATAACACATGACGAAAGACCAGTCTTTCGCAGCTTAGATCTTGTCCCGGTTTAGGACGGTTTGGGACAGTGCCCCGCTCGCAGGAAATACGAGATTCATCGATCTGTTCCCTCTCAAGTCGACGTACAGGTTGGCTACGGGTCTCACTATCCAATGGGGAGGAACTCTCCGCACCGTTCCGGGATAATTCACTACACTAACGGACCTAACACTATAGCAGTTGACTAGCCTGGAAACATCAGTCAATCGACGAGTGTCTGACCGACACTACACGAGCCGATATTACAATGCATAGCGTAAAAAAACCCGATGATACGTATGTTAATGTTTTTGCGATGGCACGCACCGCGTTTGCAAGTGTGTGCCGGTGCTCAACGCGTGCGAACTCCCGTGCGCCCGTGCAGGAGCAGCGAACGCAGCACTCTTCGTGCGATTACTGCTTGCCATTCCCTTAACTATATTGCGCGAAAAGCTCTCTGAGGGTGACAATTAAAGTGTATGGAGTACCATCATCTAAATACAAAATACCGTTTAGCAGCAATCCAGCTTACATTAAAATACATTGCTTACATTTTTATTATCCCAATTACTTTTCAGGAATCACTCATACCCATCTTCAAATTGATACTAAAATTTAATTATTTACAATAACTATTACACTACTCTAAAAATTTATATAAAACAATTGCACGTTACATAAATATTAAAACCTGCATGTCATTTATCTTCAAAGGTTTCACGTTCCAGTGCCTAGCCTGGTCGTTTTCCTGCCGGGGTCCTTACCTGGCCGCCAGATACGGACTACAGTGAACGTGAGACGAACGAGAAGTGAAGGGAGGACGGACCGGCCATACATTTCATTTGGGTGTTGGTTTCCCATCCCAGTTTATTCTCGAAATAAGTGTTCTTTCAGTGAAACAATAAAGGCGCAGGTTTACACCAAAATGAGTAATTTAATTCGCTGAATAGCGATAGATAACAGGAGCAGCAACGTCCCCCCTTCCTCGCCCTCTGCCCCGTGGGGCTCCGCGCCGTTGTGTCGTTTCTAAAGAGTTCAATTCGCGCTGTCGGCCCCTCCGCCCGCGCGAGCGCCTAATGGCGTCGAACAGCTTCAATTGATAGATGGACGGCGGGCGCGGGGCGGGCGCGGGCGGCGGGGCGAGACGCCCGCGCGCCCGGCTGCGCTGTGGGGTGTACACTACCTTCGCTTCGCTGCGCTGCATTGTTTGAGAATAACCGCTTCGGGTTGCTTGGCCGT